TTCAAGATTATTATCAACTTCTTTTGAGTGAAAAAGTCAATAGAGTGTAGTGAACGTAAGGAAGGAAGGAGGCCATTAAAGCTCACTCATTGACATGTGAATAGCGTACATGTAGTATCCAATTCCAGGTATCCAAAACTGACTATTACAAAAAGTTAAAATTGGATACCTTCAATATGACACCCATGTCAGTGGCGGATCTAGGGGAGGGGCCCGGGGGTCCCCTCCCCCCTTATTGCAGGTAAAAAAAATTTCAGAAGTAAGAAAAACCAGCAGGGCATGCAAAAAATACGGCCCCCTCCCTTCCCCTGTAGCTCAAGGTCTGGATCCACCACTGCACATGAATTTGCTTGACAAAGAGGCGTGTGGAGAATCAGTCACGATACAGCATTTTTTTAGAGATATGATTAGGACAGTTATTTTTACTCATGATAAGTAATAACAAGCAGTTGTTGATCTTCTTCAATTAGGCATCCAGCAAATGCTGATTGATCAGTTGAATCACTACTGCCATAAATGGACAACAGTAGGGAAAGAAAGACATCAGGCGAGTCAACTGCCAGTGACAGCTCAGAGACTGTATCATGCAGACCTTATTATCTACCAGAATCACCAGCTGCTGGTTCTTCATCACAAGTAGTTAGATCAGCTTGCAGTTCTTCAGTATCTTCATCAAGAGTTGGTGATTATTTACGATCACCTGCAGGAGGAATGTCAGGTAACCTCAAGTGAAATCTGTGGCCCTAGTTTGAATCCTAAATACAGTGTTGTATGGATTGATTTTGTTGTTGGTTCTAGCTCTAGCGCCTGGGATTAATAATTTTCTCTGGGTTCTCCTGTTGTCAGTAATTTTATCTTTGATCTACAAAAGCCAACATGTCTAAATTCCAGTTTGATGTGGAAACAGTAAATGAAAATAAACAGCCACTCTGTGGATATACTGTAATTCATTTTGATATGTTTACTTGATATGTATTTTTTTCTTTTCTAATTTCTCTCTTTCCCATTTCTCACATTTAGCCTGATGCCTCTTGTTAATCTTGTTATCTACTTGCCAATCTATACAAAATAATGGGTGTGCCTTTCTCCACCTAAAAGAAACACATTTTAGTAAAGGGTCTTTATTCAGTGCTAAGGACCAATTTGTTTAGCAAATTACTGAGGCTTAAGTTATCATTACACAACACAAATTTAAAGAAAACTTGCAAGAGAAATTAAGTTGTAAGGGACATTAGCTGTTATTGTAGGTGAGTGTTTACTGCATTGAGCATTTTCAAACAATGAAAGTGTTTTACTGTCATTCTTACATCAGCCACATGGCATAATTTCTTTCAGTTGAATTCTTCTCACAGACCTATTCCAACCCTCTTCCCTTTTGACACATAACTGAGTTCTCAGGCTCGCATGCTCAGTTTGTTAATGACACTACAATGAGCCGCTCTACACCCATACCACCACCCCACCCCACAAGCTAAGAGCTGCTGCAAAGCCAGGAAAATAAATCCTGAGGGACTGGGATTATTATGCACAGTGTGTACATAGTTCAGAACAATGTAGGTGACTTAACAAACATATGCTGTGCATAAATCAAGGAAATATCGTTATCATCAAATTTTGTTTCTGCAGATAAATCAAGAGAGGAGAAAAGANGTTAATGACACTGCAATGAGCCGCTCTACAACCCATACCACCACCCCACCCCACAAGCTAAGAGCTGCTGCAAAGCCAGGAAAATAAATCCTGAGGGACTGGGATTATTATGCACAGTGTACATAGTTCAGAACAATGTAAGTGACTTAACAAACGTATGCTGTGCATAAATCAAGGAGATATTGTTATCATCAAATTTTGTTTTTGCAGATAAATCAAGAGAGGAGAAAAGAAGATTGTCACCCAGTTGGAGTACAACAGATCCTAAACAAGCCAAATTCACACATGGGGGTAGAACAGGTTATTTTACATGTATTTTGTATGTCCTCAGTATATACATACAACAAAGCTAGCCAAGGAATGCATAGGCCTATTTTAATTCCATACTCCAAAAGTCTCCATCATGGCTTACGAATCATGCTGCAGTGTTTTGTCAGGTTTTAAACCCTTAGCTTTACCTGATCATTGTCCAGGGAGCTGAGCAAAGATATTTTTACAATTTAACATTCCCAGAGCAAGGTGATGCAGCGGTAATAACTGGGTGCTCACTTCTTACCGTTGTGTCCTGGGTTTGAGTTCTGGGTTCAGCATGATTCATGGGCCTAGTCTATTTTTGGTTCTCGTTCTTTCTCTGAGGGTTTTTACCAGCTTCTCTGAGTTTTCTCCCTCCACAAAAACCGCTTAGTTTTAAATTCTAATTGTATTCAGAGACAGAATACATTAACATAGTCACTCCAATCATGTGAATGTGCTTTAATTCCAAGTTATTTTTATTTTCATTTTCACTTCCAAAACAGCATGTTTTAGTGTCCCTTGCTCGTTAACATCAGAATAAAAGTGTTAATTACTGAATTCCGCTAGTGAATTAATTATCAATAAATTAGTTTAATGAATAGTTTCATTTCCAAGGCTGCTGCCTAACAGTCGCCCAGTCGACAGGGGCACTCTAATTTTGTGCAGGGAGTTTAGACAGAACAGTGATCCTCGGTCAGTGGAGCCCCTTCTGACCCCCCCTACTGACCCCTCACTCACCCCCCTGGTGACCCTCGTCTTTCTTAAACTCGACCGCGCGCCAAAGTAAAAAGCCTGAAACCAGCGCTTGATTGTCCAGACACTAGAGCCGGCTTACAGGCTAGAAGAAACCCAGCCACAATTATTGTTCTCCTCCGGACCAGTTTCCCTGCTAATTGAGTACAACAACCTGAAACACCACGAATACAAAGTGTTCGGCTGATGGGACGCAGTGAGCCTCATTTTGGTTACGCGAACTCGTGCCGGGCTTTCTTGCGAATTTCACTCTTCCCTAGGTGGACCTTCGCGGTTTGAAAAGTGACGTCTATTTTCGCTATGAAGGAATAAACATGGAGCCAAATTATCATCGTTATTAGCAAGAGCATACGTTCAAACCTCTCCTCAGTGTCCCCTTTTGTTTTCAACTTGAAACGTTTTTGAACTGCAAAGAATAAATTTTCCAATTGTAGTTTTCACTGGTAAGCATAACTTTAAGCAAAAAATAATATGGCTCTTTTAAAAAATCGAATTGAAAAATGTACAAGTTGGCTTGAGGAGTCGTGAATAAATTTCAAAGAGAGGTGATGTTTTTATAACTTTGATATGTAACAAATTACATCATTGGTTAACTGCAAACTTTTCCTCTTTATCATATAGTTGTTTTTAAAGAAGGCAAACCTGGTGACCGTGAGCTAGATGAGCTTGCCGGAAAGATTTGTGCAAAGTGGCAGGAGATGGGTCTTCGCCTTGACATTTCTCAAGATAAACTGGACGAAATAGATGCTAATGAAAAACGTAAAGCATATCGGA